GGCATTCCTGACCACCGCGGATGACAGGAAGACCGTTCCGATTCTACCAGTAGACAGGGACTTCCTCGTTGGAGCCACACTCTGCACTCGCACTCAGTTTCCCCCGATCGTATGCTATGCCATTACGGTTCATAAGTCGCAGAGCATCACCGAAGACAGGATTGTGACAGATCTATCCTGCCGTGACTTTCAGACAGGTCTGAGTTATGTGGCCGTCTCGCGTGTGAAAACGCTGCAGGGTTTGATGCTGGATGCCCCGTTCGACCGCAATCGTCTGACATATACATTCCCCCGGAGGGTATCAAGATGAAGATGAGGGACCAAAAGCTTAGGAGTTGGCAGGTTCTCACTCAGAATCCGTATAAGAATGGCCACGGGACCACGTAACTCCAGTTGATGCTACCAACGTAGATGACGCAATAAATGTATGACTGTAGATACTTGATTGTTCAGTGACTGCCTTCTCGTTGACCGGAGACTTGCAGCCTCGGCTGATTGTACACCTTGCACCACCGCTCTGAAGTGCAAGGTGTCACGTAGTATTTTATATTGACGAATTACCAACTACTAAATTAGCCGCTTTGGCGCGCCATTTCGACGTATCGCGAACCCGCTGCAAAGACGTGACGGTACAAGGGCACGAGCAAGGTCAAATGCGACTTGGATAATGCGATTGTTCACAAGGAGAGTAAGAGCTTCCGAAGGATGTCCTGACTCGAGCTATCTAAGTTCTAAAGTGGGGCCGTTCCCTTACAATAGCTCCTAAAATTATGCCTCGGATCGACGGAAATATGCCCTCAGGCTATTCCGACTGAACACATTAAAACCGTCACAATATATGCGGCGTCTATTAAGCATGGAGACTACTATATGATCCTGGTAGCAAGACGGAAAGTTACTACCATTATGACTCATGTCCATAGTCTCTAAGCTATGCCTTTTAATACAGAGTCATGCAGTTATCCTGCCAGAGGGTGGCGAAGGCACTCACTCATCTCACGGGTTCAATTTCCTGATTTTAGTCTCTTCATTAAGGTTGTATGCTGTCTGCCGTGTCGCTGTTTCGTTTCTTAGAACGATGATTTGTACTGATGTTGGGTGTGTATGACTTATGTCACTTTTTCTCCCCTCCAACCCATTTTGTGTATGCCCCTGTGACTTCCATCCCTGGCATCATCGTTATATCCGTTACCACACCTTGTTGTCTGCATATACCTCCTGAGCATAATGTTGTCAGCTAGTGAATTTTCGCGGCTCAAGTCGGTGTATAGCATTGCTGGCTGCGGGCCTGAACTGGATCTCTGACATAACAGAAACCAGAATAAAAGTCATTGGGAAAGCACGTTTCGTCCAGGTGTCCACCTAGCTACACGTAATCAAACACGGCACTGGCATATAAGTAGGTTTTTAATGGTGTGTACTATAGAGCTCTTAACGCTGTCTTGCAGTCTTTACCTGGGCCATATGCTCTCGAATACGCCTGAGTAGTATGCCATTGCAAAGAAGTTTCGATGCTTTTATCCCCTCCTGGACATCTGCTAGTGGCGTCTATAGTTTATTTAATTATCAATCCAACTTGGTGTTTGCATCGGACACCTGCGTTTCTCTAATTGGTGACCTGTAGAGGTACACACGCACACAACTGTCGTGGGACCAGGGAATCCTTAACGTCCTTCGAAAACCATGTTGTAGACTCTTAGTAATCCGTAGCCTAGTTATTTCTCGTCTAATTAAGCGATGTAAGCGCATTAACGCCAAGCTGCAGTCATGTATGTGAACGACCCCTGACATATAAACTTACCTTGTGCTCTCCACAATCGAGTCACTATGCCGAGGCATTATCACCCTGTTTCTGATCGTTACTGCCGCATGAATCATCTGACTTCCTGTATTTCTCTGTGACGTGCATTTATACAAGCAGATGACTGGTTGATAACATAATGTGCCCAAACTCCCTAGCGTCATACGTGACAATCTTTCAGTCATTTACACTTGAGCTACGGCCTAAAATAAGGTTCAACTCTATTGGCGATGGGGGGTCTGCATCAATGTGGGACACCGTGTTGGGCATAACAGCCATTCAAGCGTCCATTCTTAAGCAGCGGCCTAAAATATGATTAGACTGTATTGCCTGCTTGGTCGGTATTATCATGTAATAGAACAGTTATGTTACCTTGTTCTATGGAACAAGAAGGCAAGTTGGTTGGTATTATTGGATGTCACCGTGCCAACACACAAAATCTACATATGAAAAGAGTGTGTTGATTCTGTTCGTGACATGTGCCACTTTATTCGGAGCTTGCACCACCAGCTTATTTCCAAATAAGTGGGCCAGCGCTAAGATAGTCTCATTAAGATGTCTGTCAGATATCAGGACCTCAAAATGGGGTAAAGCGTTGCTTTTCACAATGCCGCGTATCGCGTATCACGGGGCGAATCTAAGGTGCTGGTAGTAACGTAGTTGTGCCTTAAGGAGGATGGAAGAGGAAGCTATCTAGACTACAGCTTTACGGTGCGCTAATGGTCTGTGCTCATGTCTTAGACAAGTCGTGATGGTGCTGTGACAACGGTCTTATGATTCTTTTCTCAACTAGTCTATTTGATAGCAGTTTTACCAGAGTGGTTAAACTGTAAGAAAGAAAGAAAGAAAGTAGCTCCATGGAAAGCTCGTCGCCAGCTACATAATGACTTGGGAACTAGCATAGCGACAAGTCTGCCATGCCGTGCTATGGTACTGGAGATGCTCTAGGCCCTCTTGGAGAGGCTTCCCTTGTCGCAAGCCGCCTTTTGTAAGTCCTCCGCATCGGCGAAACGGTCGCCGACTTCCACCTTTTCCACGCACTGGGCAAGTTCCTCGACGGTTGGCTGCTCTTGGCTCTTGCGAGGGCAGTCCCGCGATTCCTTCTGGCTGCATGCATGGATACATTGGCCCTCGGCCCTCCTGCATTGGCCTACAGACAATGCCCTAAAACAGCACGCCTTCTTTATTTCCCTTTTCAAATTCTCTAGGGTCTGTGAAGTTTTGCCAGCGCTTTAGTATATTGCACCACGTCAAGGCGAAAGGCTCGGGGCAGCTATTCACTTACATTCTCTTGTTTGGGGGCCTTGTTGGAAGTAGATTTGTCAACTTTGTCGCCCTCTTGGCCTGCCGAGGCCAATTCCAGCTGCTTTTTCAAATCTGACCATTGAGCTACCTCTAGCTTTCCAGAACTGCCAAATTGCTTGTTACTGATACACTGGGCGTCCATGGGCAACGATTTAGTTACTTCTTGAACATCGCAACTTGGTGGTTCTTCTCCGTTCTTGCGCGGGCGCACCGACCAGCCGGGCGTCTTTGATGCGGCTTCTGCACAGACGTACTTGTAGGGTTCGGGGTTCTCAACGCCCTTGTCATCCAATTGGACAACAATTTCCTTCTCCGGGCACACACTCCCATCGTCCCCAAAGTAAGTGCCGCTAAAGGCACAATTGTCAGAACAAAATATTTCATTGTCTGAGAGCTGGACAGTCGAAACTTTAATGCCGAGCATCGCCTTAACCCCCGCGGCACCTAGCAATAACGACAGGGCGAGCATAGTGGCAGCGTGATGACTTGGAAAAAAAAAAAAAATGAGAAGTTGACGGTAATATAGTCAAGTGGCAACTATAGGCAACGTAGGTTGAAATGGTATCTAGTAGGTTTGTGTATTCGGTTTGCCTTGGTGCACTCTAATCTGGGTGCTACCTGCAGAGCTATATATACAAGGCCAGAAAAGAAGAGAGGGAAATTTAGCTAAAGAGACAGCCATGTTCAACAGTCGTTGCCAAGCTCCATCTTGTCTCATGGCCCGCACCTCGCGTGACTCGTAACTCGGCAGAATGCATAAACCCTTGGCGTTACGTCCCAGAAGGGGGTTTCATCGTGAGAAGCGTCAAGTCATGCGAATGAGAGAAAATAACAAAGATGCAAATAGTAAGTGTTTTCAATTGTTGCCCCCTTTTCTATCAGCAGCTATTGACCCCTATAGGTTGATTTTACCACGTGATAAGCTTGTTCGGTCTAGGATGTAACAAGTAGCGATCTGGATAAACATGATAAACATGATAAATCTAGGTACCCCTCGCTAAGCGTGAAGCCATTCATTCCATTTCCGGTAATTCCATCCATTTTGGGCCTTAGTTTTGCCTTACGCGAGTCATCAACAGGGCAATTTAGATTATCAGGGGGGTTGGGAGAAGGACAAGACGTGCTATGCACTCTTTGGGGGGTGGGGGGACAACTTTAAATTTCCCTTTCTCACAGGGAAATGTAAAATTGCAACACGCTAAAAACAGGTGTTTTGAAAAGGAAAAGGGTAAATGTGCGACGCACCATACTAGGGCCAAGTTGTACAACCGTAGTATGAGCTCTTACTACCCAACGGCTACTGTCTGAGGCTCATTCTGTAACGGGCTGAGGCTCATTCTGTACCGGGCCAAGCCGCTTGACCGGCGGCTGTGCCGCCTATCACTAACTCCCGCGGCGGATTGACTCTAGAACCTTCTGTGGAGGTGTATGGGGAGGATATAAGGCACTATTATTGTGCCACGGAGTATGTAAACTTTCTTTTCTTCTTCATCTTGATAGAAAACAGCATAGGTACTAGTTAGTTGAATCAACTCACTAGAGGCCTTTCACACATTCTACAACTAAAGGTTCTATTATGTGTAGTATGCCGGTTGTATGAATTGTAGGCACTGACCACAAATCGATTTTTTGATGCTACTTTCACGGAGCTTAGTTGGTGAAACGGCCCGAATTGACGGTACGCATGAATCAACAGAGTCAAAATCTACGTCTACACAATTCATTTTTTCAATCGCCGTGATTGCGCATACAGGATCAATATTTTCTGTTTCTCAGCCGATTTGCCGATACATTCACGCCTTTAAGGGATATATACGGTCATGGGACCCAAGTCCTCAAAATGGACCCGGAGAATTGGTGGATGCCCTGGTCGGGTAGGATCAATCTAACAAATGCGTTGAGGTGGAAAGGGTCATGGGACCCAAGTCCTCAAAGTGGACCGGGAGAATTGGTGGATGCCCCGGTCGGGTAGGATCACTCTAACAAATGCGTTGAGGCGGAAATTGGCACTGTCAGTCGGCAGTTCCGGAATAGGACAGAAACACGCCAGACTATCAATTGTGGTCAGTTCGGAAACGCAGAGTTGCTCATTTTCCAGTGTCTTCCGACTGTCAGTCGGCAGTTCCGGAATGGACAGAAACACGCCAGACTGTTCATTGTGGTCAGGTCGGAGAGACAGTGGAGAGACAGTGTTGCTCATTTTCCAGTATCTTCCAGAGTTCTAGCCCCTTCCTTTCCCATCGTGCTCGGGAATAGGTCTTGCTCCTCCCTCCAAGGTATCACTCATTATGTGGAATGCCGGATGCATCCATGTGGAGTCAGTCCACTGCTGAATATTGGAGACTTGATAGGCAAAACAAGTGAACGTTGTCGGAAAGGCTAGGTCGACACAAATACCAAACCCAAGAGCTTGCCTAGCACAGTTCAGCAGGTATTGTTGGTGCCACAATTGCTTAATACGTACGCCTCTACAGATCAACGCGTACACAGAAACAGAAATTATCACAGGCGAGGCGCACATATTTGTTCGTTCACGTTATCACCATCACCCGTTATCTGGTGCGTCGACTGTTATTGCTCAATATGCGTGCAGCAGTAGAAGTCATGCCATTCAGAACAGGAAATTATGGTATCCTGGCCACCACCCAATAACACGTGGACATGACAAGCAAATCCTTTATGCCATTATGTCCAGGGACCTGGGTCCGATCAGACGCATCGACAATTGGAGCAGTGTCCAGGGACCTGGGTCCGATCAGACGCATCGACAATTGGAGCAGGGCCTTCAAGCGTCGGCCTTCAGCTGCGGCAGGATTTCTTGGCTCGTAAAATTGCACTGCTGCATATATTGATAGCAGAAACTGGCTTGACTCATGAAGTAGCCCATAATATGCATCAATGTGGAGGTCTAGTGAGCATTTCTACCGACACTACACCGCATGAATTGTGCTGCTACTCATCAACAATCCACTATGCATTCCTATAACTACGCCTTAGACTACTTGTAGTGAAGGTCAGAGGAAATATAATAAAGTATCCAGGCAGCCAATGCCCAAGCAAAGCCACAAGTCAATGCCGGTCGCAATGACGGCCTTCCTTTCGGTCGTCGCGATCGATATGCCGAGACTATACAAATAATACTGAGCTTAATGCAATTTATCATCTATATGCAATGAGATAGTTTACTAGAGTAAGAACATCAGTTCGCGTTTCACCCTTAGTGGGTGTTAATGCGAAAGCCTCTAGGCGCCCCAGAGCTGGCTTGGTATCGTAATGCAGTACAGGTAGGATGTGCAGTTAGGGTGACGCAATCTCGTAAATTCATGTTCTGAGTCAGAGCAGTGTGGAGCGAAGTGTCAATTGCAAGTTGGATGTAACGAGCAACGGTACTGCTCCGTGCGGACTCGGGGGACTCACTACAGAGGCGATCCTTGCCATGGTTTGCTGGAGACGACTCTGAGTCCTCTTAACTCACCGATTCCGCTCACTCCTAATGGTGACCCCTAGAGAGTACACGGTTGTCGGTCTTTCTGCAAGCCACTGGCTGTGCTTATACCATAATATCAAAAGTACTACAATTCACACTCGGGTATCGAGAGCTTTGGTGGCAACCTGGTTATCGGTAACGGCTTAAGCGTCTGCGATCCTCTGAAATTCCGTTCCCAACCATAGTTGTTCATAGCCCGTCGATAAACTAAAAGGTTCTCCAATGCCTACAAAGCTTTCTATTGCTAACTCTTTCGCATCATGACTTTGTACAAAATAATCGCAACATCGACTTTACTAACATCGAGCCAGTTTACTCAACAGCCTCTTCTCCAGACACTGGACGTTAATATTTTACACAAGCTAGCCGCTTCATTCTTATCGCCGCGATGCTCCCTCAGATTCAAACGGCGTCAAAGAACCTTATTGCAACAGAGCTTCCAAGATCTTATTTGAACCCCGAGCTTCAACCGCTTTGGGATGTCATGCTCACGCTTAAGAAGACCTTCGGAGGTGCGCCTGATGATGACTATTGGCTTGCATGGCTGAGAGGTGCTCAGAAACTACAACAGATAGAAAGGCTTGAGCAGTTATCCACACCGGTAGACTGGGAAGGTTTGGATGAGTGGATTGAGAATGCGGACAAAGCCTATCGAGTTCTGAAGACCCAATGCTTGGACTGTCTGGATGTATTAGGAGCTGACACCAGCACTTTGGGTACCAGTGTGCTCGATCCTCATGCGATGGTTGAAAGAATACAAGCCAGCCCGGCGGCACAAGAACTTCGACG